ACCAGAATGCTGAGATTACAGGCATGTGCCATCGCACACAGTGACTATATGATTCCCTACTAGTTGTTAATCTTCTCTCAGTATATTTATTGTCTGATTTATGGACTCATGAGAATGAGAGTCACAGGCTGATGTAAGCCTTGAATTAAGAGTATTTAGAGTACATTACGCTGGTCTTGAACTTGCTACAGGAAGTTTTAGTAATGCTAAAATTTTAATTGAATTATAATTATTCTTACATTTTTAAAAAGTCCAAATACTTGTTGAACTTTTAAACTCGTCTTTTGAACATTTGATCACCAGGTGACCAGTACAACTGTATTTTTTTTCTGGAAAATTAGCAGTTTATTTTATTCTGCCATATCGCCATCATATCATTTCAGTAACTTTTAATTTGGTTAATTAAAGAAGAAAAAAGTATTAATAAAAAGAACAGTGGAAAATGAAGATTGAGGGCTAGGCAAATTGCTCAGTTTTAAAGCCCTTCCTTAACGGTTCTGAGGTCCAGGTGCAATTCCCATCAACTACCTGCCAAATACCAGTAAATGTTATCTTATGTGTTTGGTCAATTGTATTTCCAAGTTTTCACTTCTTTTATGTCATAAAATTATATATACATTCTGTTGGCTATGCAGCTTCATAGTAGTTTCCATAGTTGAGGACCAGGTATTATTTTCCCTCACTATTGGTGCCATTCTTGGCTCTCTGATTTACTTGGGCCAGTGAAATGTGGTGAGCAGAAGTCTTACATATGCTCTTCTGATTTGACTTGACCTCCTCATCACCTCTGACCTACCATGAGAGGAGCATGTCTGAGTATTCACTGGCTCTTTCAGTAGCTGAGGCCAGTATTAAAATACATTGATGTGGTTCAGAATATCACCATAAATCTGATAAGTAGACTAATGTCTCTGTCTCACCCTAAATAGGCTGATCCACAGTCAATCTTCAGATTCATGAGCATAACATAAATTTGTTATTAAAATTGTTAGTTATCTAGGAGAAAGTAAAATATAGTTAAATTCTTTGAATGCAGACCAGTACTTTTCTTTACTTGAAAATGCATTTTTAGTTTTTTTCTTTTGCAGCAACAATGAGTTGAAGCACAATTTATAGGGCAGAGAAGATGGAAGAAAATGATTCTAACATAAAAGTAAACTAGGACAGCCAAACTAGACTAATTGCAGTATGATTCCTTAAGGAGTATTACTAGATTCTAAAATTACCAACTAATTTTTAATGGTGGAACATTTCAAGTAAAAAATGCTACCTCACTAAATCAAATGCACCTGTCTACGTATATTAGATTTTTTAAATCTAACGCTGATTCTTCTTAAAAGAACTCCTCAGTAAATTCCTCTAATGATACGCTTCTTTGCTTATAAACCTATAAAATACTGTAATTCTGTATAACTTGATCTCAGGTTTGTTCATGAAAGCCCAAAGATAAGAAATCTATTATGAGAGAAACATTTGAAAAATAGGTCTGGTCAGACACCAGAGAAAGGGGAAAGGACAATTGGAAGAGAAGCGAAGATTTAGTCAACATAGTAAACTAAAGGTCCCAGAGACTAAAGAAAAGGAAAAAGTTAAGGCATATCCTGGTTAAAACATCTGAAATTCAGAACAAAGAAATGGAGTTCATGGTATTTTGAAATATATTTTGATATATATTTTGATATTTTGAAGAACTAATAATGCAAAGGTTGAGAAGTAAAGAAATTAAAAGTAATTTCCAGGACTCTGGATTGAATAAATATGTGGTAGGTTGTAAATATTTTTGTAATTTTTTTATTGAGGTAAAATTTACATACCATAAAGCTCACCATTTTAAACCCTACAGGTTTGGGGCTATGTGTAACTTGGTGATAGAGTGAGGTTCTGGGGTCCATCCTCAGTACTGACCGTCTTCCCCCAAGTGTATAATTCAGTAACTCTTAGTGCATTTTAATGTTGTGCCACTGTTTTGTAGTACATCATCTCAGAGGAAACCCTGTAGCTGTTCAGCAGCTATACCCCGTCCCTCTTCCTCCTAATCCCTGCAAACTTCTAGTCTACTTTCTGTCTTCCTGGTTCTGCCTGTTCTGAAATTTTATATAAATAGGATCATGCAACATGGGGCCTTTTTGTGACTATCTTCTTTTACTTAGCATTCATTATGTTTACAAGACATTTAAATAGTGTGAATCAAGTTTTCATTATTTTCATGACTAAATAATATTCCATTGTATAGATATGTTACATTTTGTTCATTATCAGTTATTGGGTTTTTATTTTTTGATTATTATAAATAATGCTACTATGAACATTCTTATTCAACTTTTTGCTTGAAAACCTATTTTCTTTTCTTTGAATATATACATACCCAGGAGAAGAAAGAAGGGTTGAATCACATGATAATTCTCTGTTTAACTTTTTGAGGAACCCTTAATCTGTTTTACACAGAACTGGCACCTTCTTACATTTCTACCATCAATGCATGAGAGTTATATTTTCTTTATAGTCTCATCAGTATATTTGTCTTTTTTTCAGTACTGGGAATCAAACTCAGGGCCTTACGCTTGCCAGGCAGGCATGGTGCCACTGAGCTAAATCCCTGACAGCATGCTTGTCTTTTGTAAAATTAGACACATGTTAATGAGCATAAAGTGATTGCCCATTTTGTCTTGGTTTTCTTTATATAAGAATGGTTGAGGGCCCAGGGATTTAGCTCAGTGGCACCATGCCTCCCTGGCAAGTGCAAGGTCCTGAGTTTGATTCCCAGTGTATGTGGGAGTGGGGGCAGTGGTTGAGCATCTTTTCATGTGCTTATGGGCCATTTGTACAGTGGCACTTCAGTTCATGAACTCAGTTCTCTGCATGATTCTGATTACAACCAAACTGTATAAGAACCAAATCAAATTTCCTCATAAGGTCAATATTGAACCTAACTATTGAATTTAATTTGGTTCTCATCCAACTCGGTTTGTGACCAGCATTGTGGAGTTGATTTTGTGAACCAAGATACTACTGTATGTCTCTTTTGGAGAAATATCTGTTCATATCCTTTGCCCATTTTTAAATTGTTTTTCTTTTTGTTGTTGAGATTATGAGTTCATATATTCTAGATAATATACCTTTATCAGAAATGTGATCTGCATGTATTTTCCCATTCTTAGATATTCTCTTCATAATATCTTTCAGTGCAAAAAGTTTTTAATTTCAATGAAATTTAACTTATCTTTTGTTTTATCGCTCATTCTTCTGGTTTCATCTAAGAATCCATTTCTGTTCTTTTGGTGTTCTAAACATCATTGTAATGCTTTCTTCTGATATATCTTTTAAGTTTACTGATTCTCTTTTCTGTGTCTAACCTGCCTTTAAATTCATGTATTAAAATTTTAATTTTGTGGGACCAGGGATTTAGCTCAGTGGTTCCACTGCCTTCCCTTGCAAGTTCAAGGTACTGAATTCAATCCCTGGTACCAAAAAAATTTTTTTTAATTTCATAATTTTTATTTAAAAATTTTGAAACATTTTCTAAGCATGTTAAATATACTACTTTAAGTTCTTTTTGTCTCATAAACTGTATTTCTGATTTAAATGATTTTTATTTACTTTGTTCATGTTATCATATTTTTTGTCACTTAAGGCCAGATATTATATATAACAAATTTTATAAATTATTTAATGATGCTATTGTCCTCCAGGAAGACTTATGCTTGCTTTGGTGAGCTCCAACAATTCAGGATTGCCTTCATTTAATTTTGTGGATGATACTTACTAATAAACTTTACTCCCTGTGAGAGCCAGTTTAGGTTTACTTTGTATTTATTCCTTTGTACTTTCAATGAAAGTGTTGTAGTTTTACCAGTTCCCCCTTCATATTTAGATGAGTCTTAGATTCTCATACTTTGTTGCCAGCTCTGAAAATCTTAATAGCTTCTTGGCTTCTCCAATGCTACTAAGTAAATAGTAGCCCAAAGTGCCAGACTTTAGTCTTTTTTCTTAGAATTCTTCATTATGCTGTTCATCAGGAAGATGTTTAAAATATACATATAATAGTTCTAATTTTTCTTAGGACAATGTTGGGCTGAAGTACATAATCTGCCATTACCAGCAGTGGACATCAGCACCTTATAATTACTTTTTAAATGAGCAGATTCACCATGTAATAATGTCAGTCTACCCACTTCTATTTTAATGTGTCTTCATGAGGGAGGGTACAAAGAAATAGATCAGTTACAATGATCTTTTTAGCAATTGCAAATTGATCAATTAAGTGGGTAAATGTTTTCTTTCATTTTCTATCAGGAAAGACAAGATCATAGGTCTAATTTTAACACTGTTTGTGTAAGTCAGCTTTCAGTCAAACACAAGAAATGCAATTTTAAAAAGGAAAGATTTATTTTGGCTCACAATTTTTGAGATTTCAGTCCATAGTGAGTTGGATCCATGATAGAAACACGGTGGAAGGGTGTGGCAGAGAAAAGTTGCTCATCTTATGACAGTCAGGATGCAGAGAAAAATTGGAAGAAGCTGAGGCGGGGTGTGTGTGGTGCAAAAATATACTCTTCCAGGTGACCTACTTCTTCCAACTAGGTCCTACTTCCTACCAGCACATTCAGCTATGAACTCATCAGTGGATTAACCACAATGATCAAATCACTTTTCAAAATCCCCCAATCCTGAATACATGAGACTTTTGGGTAGACATTATATGTCTAAACTGTAATAGTGTTGTACTATAACTACATAACTGTATTTCTCATAAGAAACTGAGCCCTTTGAAGAGGAACCTTTTATTCACCTTCCATTTCCTAGTATTAGACTGGGATTTGAATGTGCAATAATGTATAAATAAATGTATGTGTTGAAAACACTTTATTTGGTTTCTCACAGTGAAAATCAATGTCACTATATACTGTTCTGAATCATTCTAAAATATATGGTTTAACAAGGAAGGAATAGGAATAATCTTTTCATAGCAGCTCTTTTATGACTTCCTCTTTCATTAACAGGTGGCATCTCCACAGAAAGCGATTGTGCTTTTGAGCCAGACTATGCTGTTCCACCACTTCCAATGAGTGAAGGTATGCAGCACATTCGGATTATGGAGGGCATGTCTCGCTCTCTTCCATCCTCCCCCTTACTCACACATCAGTCTATCAGTGTTCGGCTCCAGCCTGTGAAGAAGTTAACTGGTAAGGACTTTACCTGAATTCAGTATGTTTAACAGGAAACCTAACAGTATGGCAGTTGAGGCTTATGTGCATCTTTAGATTTTTCTTCTTTGGCCTTCCTAATATTACAGACTTTTGGAAAGTGGAGCTCCTACTGATTTTAATGTAGAAAATTAGAACATTGCTCTGACAGATTGATGTATTCATTTTCTCAGTGACCCATCTGTTGTGGACATATTTTTCTAGGTTTTTCAGGAAGTCTCTAGTTTTGCCAGAATACACTGTTGTTCTAATTTCATTTATCAGCTTGTTCTTGTCAGATTAACAGATGGAGACATTGTACTTTTAGGATAATAAGAGCTTGATAGTTCAGCAAAGGTACATCAGTCATATTTTTGTTTGGAATAATGAGTTGTATATTTCATCTCTGTTTTCAAAAGCTGATTTAAATATTTTCTTCTCCATAGGACATGACTACAACCTCTTTTGATATTTACTATAATTCATAAGTTGTGAATTGCACTAAATTTAATATAATGTCACAGTGTTTACTTCATACTCAGATTTAGTAGATGTGAAAACTGAATATTAAATGATCTTTTTTTGTCCTCTTGTTTGTCATAGAAAAAATTTTAAGATGTATTGAAGAATAGTTATGTATGAAAATATTTAAGCGTAGATCACTTTGTTAGATCTCTCTAACATTATCACTACTTTCTTGATGGCTGTCAGTTGGCTGGTATTTGTATTTTGTAAAAGTATGAAATTGAGGATATGCTGATTGTTTCCTGTGTGCCTGAGCTAGACAGTAAGGAGATTTGTTTATCATTATGACAATTTAAAAGAAAATAGGAAAGTGGAATTTTTAGAGTATCAAAGTAGAATTAAACTTTCCCCATCTATAATATTCATTAAAAGAATGATATTTTGTTATTCTATAATTCCTGGAAGTACAAGTTTTGCCTCTTTACATTGCTTATTGTATTTTAGGAATTTTCAAGTGAGTAATTGAGTCCTTAGACAAAAATTTATAAGATAGTATAATAAGACTAGAGATGTAGCTCAGTATGGAGTTCTTGCCTAGCATGTGTGAGGCCATGGGTTTACCCCCCAGCCACCTAATCATGTAATACTTTAAAGTCCTGGTTCTCTTTTAAAGTCCAAAAATATGATAAATCTTATAGGATTGGCATGAATAAAATTTTGTTGCTTAGATATCCTCCCTGTTTTTACAGTGAAGAGTTTTGATTACTAAAAATACAAAACATCCAAATCTGACAGCTGTGATGTATTACACTTTATTTTATGACACACGTTAGAAGAAATAGCAAGAAAAGTTAAGTTTCCATGTATAATGAGAGGGATTGCCTGAGGTTTTGGAGGTACTACTTTCCTATTCTGCTTGCCTATCCCAATTTGAACTTCAGCTTAAATAGGCAGTCTTTACTAAGTGATAAATTAATGTAATAATAAAGTCAGTAATATCCCTAATATCACAGAGATGTTGTGTTAAATAGTAAGAATGAGTATAATCAACTAGTAGCATGTATGAACTCTTCAGTTTTAATTTTACAGTGTTTGAAGTATATGGGACCTTGTAAATAATTTGACTTACTGAGGACTGTCCAGCCCCTAAAAATTAAAAAATTTCTAAGTGAAAGAAATTTCTTTCTTGGAAGAAAGTGCCGCAAAGACGTTTCTGTAGCTGCTCTTCTTTCAAATGGTACACAGGATAAGGATTATGAAAATATACTGAAATTTAAATAAAACCCATCGTCAGATTACTCATTAGTTATTCATCCTTTCCAAATTGTGTTTTGTTATAAATAAGTAAATGGAAAGTTGGACGGTGAAAAATTTGCTGACAGAAAAGAAATATTCTCTGGAGTGTGGTACTTATTTGCCATTAGTTACCAAAATACACTCATCAAAATACACTATACTTAACTAATTTTTTCATTTCTGTGCATTTAAACTTTAACTGCCTTATATTCTTTGTATTCATATTACCATTCAAACTGAATAAGTAGAGTCAGAATAGGCTGCTTGCTTTATTTATGGCTTCTTATTGTTTTTTTTTTTGTTTTGTTTTGTTTTTTGTACTGGGGATTGAACTCAGGACCTTGCATTTGCAAGGCAGGCTGTGAAACCACTGAGCTAAATCCCCAGCCCTATTTATGGCTTCTTATTGTTTGTTTTTTGTTTTGTTTTGTTTTTTGTACTGGGGATTGAACTCGGGACCTTGCATTTGCAAGGCAGGCTGTGAAACCACTGAGCTAAATCCCCAGCCCTATTTATGGCTTCTTATTGTTTGTTTTTTGTTTTGTTTTGTTTTTTGTACTGGGGATTGAACTCAGGACCTTGCATTTGCAAGGCAGGCTGTGAAACCACTGAGCTAAATCCCCAGCCCTATTTATGGCTTCTTTACATTTGGTCTTTAGTGCATGTAAATTAGTTTAATCATTATTCTTCAGTGCTTTTTACTTAATCATTCAGTGAATATTTAATTAGAGCCCACTGTATACCAGGTACTAGATACAAGAAAGTAGTGAAAGAGATGATTATTTAAATTTTAGGGGCCGTAGATTTAGCTCAGTGGTGCCACCACCTGCTTCACAAGTGCAAGGTCCTGAGTTCAATCCCCAGTCCCCCCCCACCAAAAAAAACCTTTTTTTTTTAAGATAGTAACAAGTGCTATGAGGGTATAAAACGGGGACTGTGATTAAGAGACTAGGGTAGAAGTATGGTTTCTTTTTATGGCATGATCATGGAGCATCAGAAGAGGATGATGTCTGAATAAAGTTAAGGAGAGAGCCTTGAGAAGATCTGGTATGTAAACCGTCTAGGTAGAGGGAATGTCCAGACAAAAGACTTAAGGCAGAAATGAGTCTGCAAGGGAAAGAGAGCAAGTGTGGCTTACACAGAATAATCAATGGAAGATAGTTGAAAATGGATTGAAGAAACTGGCAAAATCCAGAGATTTTAGGGTCATGGTGAGGAGCCTACATAAGATTTTAAGCAGAGGAGGAATGGGAAATAATATGACTGATTTACCTTTAAATTGGATCTTGTTGGCAAGTATGTTAAGAATGCAGTATGAAAGACCAGAATATCATGTTTGTTAACCTTGTGTATATTTTCGTGATCTGTAGTCATTGTCTCCATTTCCACCCAGGTATGTATCATACTTACATTTTCATCTTAACAGGTATTATAAGGGTGAAACCTTTTCCTATCATTGTTCTTGCATAACCTTTGTACTCTTAGCATATTGATCATATTTATCTTCATCTTTCAACACAGGGGTATATAAAGACCGATTTGCAGAAATAAGTACATTTTTAAATCCTTTCACTTAGCAGAGAGAGAGAGAAGAGGCAAAAAGCCTGCTGAAGAATAGACACATAATTTTTTGCTTGAAAACTAATTTTTTTTTTTGTGGTACTGGGGATCGAACTCGGGACCTTGTGCTTTCAAGGCAGGTGGCAGAATGACAGCTAAATTCCCAGCCCATAAAAACTAATTTTTAAATATATAACTGTCTTAAGCTATTAAGTATAAAAACAAGTTAATATAGTAAAAGTGCTGAGAGACACAGGAACTGTGGTCAGACAGCTTGACTTTATGTCCTAGCTCTTGAGTTTGTCACTTCGTCACTGGGTACTTCTCCTTCAGCTATAAAATGAGGATAACAATAACGTGACCAAAGGTAGATCATATCATTCTTACCATGTTCACATTGTTTAATACAGTACTTGCATAAAACTGTCTTTGGTAAATATTAAGGACTTAGGAAGTTTTAAGCTATCATTGTTAAAATTTAAGTTTGGTGACAGGTTTTTAGAAAATTATTTTTAATATTAGATGTCAATTGGAACTTCAAAATTTGACATATTTTTAGAATAATACTTTTAATGAGTATTGCAAAAATGACAGTAGTTTTCATTCCAGTGCACATTATGTGGCATATACTTATTAGCACATAAATTCTTCACATGTATCTTCCTTTGAGAGATGAATAAACTAAGTCATAGGGAGATAAATTTCTTGCTAAAAGGAAAATGTGCTTAAAGGAAGTTTCATTTTACCACCAAGAAAATTTGAGGTTTACAAAAGGTAATACCCAATCCCCACAGCTGGTATGTTATTATTTTTATTGCAAGTAACAAAAGATGCAATCACACAGTTTAAACAATAAAAGAAGGCTTGAAGATCTAAACTAGAGATTGAGTAGACTTCAAGACTCATTTGGTTTAGTTGGGTATTGCTGTGAATTGGGGGGGATATGGAAGGGGAGCAGAAGAGGGACCTATATAAGTCTCTGTATACTCTTTTTTAATGTTTATGATTTTTTACCATTAACAAAATCCAAAACTTCCTGACATGAAAACAAATTTTCCATGTAATCTTGCTCAAATTTACCTACTCTGTACTTCAGTTCTCTTGTTTCCAAAATAAGGACAATAATATCTACTTCATATAACTAATAAGAGAATTATATGAATGAGTACATGTAAAGCTCATAAGATAGTGTCTGACATAGAGTAGGTAGTAAAAATGTTAGCTACCATTATTATAATTTCTAAAGAGAATAGGTTATTGAATTTCTATCAGCTGTGTCACACTGTATGTGTTCTGAACTTTTTGAAGGTGGCCTTCAAATAAATACAGTAAATACATCTCTTTACTGAGGAGTAATCTTCAAATGCTAACATCAGATAGATTATTATCTAGTCTCTTGGGAAAAATATTTGGACAACTGATGCTAAGAGTATTTGCTGCTAATTGAAATGACCATATGGCAGTCCAATTTGAATGGTAAATAAGTTGCAGTAACTGAACTGGTTTTGTTAAGCCTGAATATTTTAGACACTAGCAGTGGCCAAGATACTATTTTTGTCATGGATCAAATGGGAACATATACTTATTTCAGATATATTCTGGAAAATCATTATTAAGTTTTTTAGATATTATGAAGTACCTGGCCAGATGTGATGGTGCATGCCTGTAATCCCAGTACT